TGGAGAACATCCTCTGGTCAGATGGAGATCAATGTGTTGGGCTCACATGGAGTCCAGATGTTTGGTGTGAACCTGACCAGGACCACCACAGTGGATGCATGGTCCTGACAGTGAAGCACGGAGGTGGCAGCATCATGCCAACATTAATCTTGCAACGGACTGTTCTCTCTGCTGTCACCTGTTCTGAATAAAACCATGACTCCGCCCCCTTCACACCTGTGTGCGTTTGTGTGTAGTTACCTTGTATCCCAGCCGGGCGGCGCGCTGCAGCAGCGTCTCGCCGGCATTTTTGTTCACAATGAGCCGACGAACCTCCGGAGGGACGGGCCGGGCCGGCGAATGAGACGGGTCGGATGGAGACACCTGAGTGTGTGTTTGTGTGTGTGTGTGTGAGGAAAAAGAGACGTTTGAAGCGATTAACAGGAGCTCCAGGTTTTATTACCCACAAAGCAATTAGACGCAGACAGAAACAGGCGCTCGCTTTCCTCCTGCATCCATCACTGTCACATGGTCCTTCTTCAGCACACAGCCCGACTTTGCAGGCGTGGTTGAAAATAGCGCTGTCACCACCTCTGCTCCCACCACTCCGGTTTGTGTGGGTTTTGTGTGTGTAATGTGTGTCTATGTGCAGCCTGAGGCGCATGAGGAGGAGGATTCGTCTTTAAATCAAACACTGTGAACACCAGGATTCTCGCCACGCTTCTTCTTTGTTGGTTTTTGTTTCATCGCGAGTCCTCAGGCGTGTTTGTTACATGTTGCTGAATGTTGCTGCATGTTGCTGCATGTTGCTGAATGCTGCTGAATGTTGCTGAATGTTGCTACATGTTGCTATATGTTGCTGAATGTTGCTGCATGTTGCTGAATGTTGCTGAATGTTGCTGCATGTTGCTACATGTTGCTGAATGTTGCTACATGTTGCTAAATGTTGCTGAATGTTGCTGCATGTTGCTACATGTTGCTGAATGTTGCTGCATGTTGTTGCATGTTGCTGAATGTTGCTGAATGTTGCTGAATGTTGCTGCGTGTTGCTGAATGCTGCTGAATGTTGCTGAATGTTGTTGCATGTTGCTGAATGCTGCTGAATGTTGCTGCGTGTTGTTGCATTTTGCTGAATGTTGCTGAATGTTGCTAAATGTTGCTGAATGTTGCTACATGTTGCTAAATGTTGCTGAATGTTGCTGAATGCTGCTGAATGTTGCTGAATGTTGCTGCGTGTTGTTGCATGTTGCTGAATGTTGCTGAATGTTGCTGAATGTTGCTGCGTGTTGTTGCATGTTGCTGAATGTTGCTGAATGTTGCTACATGTTGCTTAATGTTGCTGAATGTTGCTGAATGTTGCTGCNTGGTTCCATCAGCCCTTGACCCCTTGTTCGTACTATTTGTTATCCTAGTTCCTTCAGCCCTAGAACATTAGCTCAATAGCATTAGCCTACTTTTCTGCTCACCCTTGTGACAGCGACACCTGGATGTTGTAGCAGGGCAGCAGCGGTCGGTCTGACAGCTCAAACTCAAACACCTCCCTCCGGGCTCGCTGCTCCTCATCCTGGTCCTCCTCTTCATCCTCCTCCTCCTCCTCTGGTCCCGGTGGATCAGCAAGAACGTTATAAACGCCTCCTTCGCAGGACGGTTCTGCACAAACACAAACAGCCCACAACACATTAAGAACTTATGTAGTTCCGTCAGTCCCAGTAGGTTCAGTGGTGGTTCTGTTAGTCCCAGTAGGTTCAGTGGTGGTTCCGTCAGTCCCAGTAGGTTCAGTGGTGGTTCTGTCAGTCCCAGTAGGTTCAGTGGT